CCCTCATATGTGGGATCCGAACCGGGGCCATCTGGCGTCCCAAGCTAGTTCTTAAACAATGCACCACTCGGCCGGCCCTGATTCAATTATTGACCATGTTGCTGAACTCACTCGCCAGCCGCATCCCCTTCTGGGGTCAGAATAAGTCTGAAAGTTCCAATTTTCTAATCACATGGTTGATCTTTTTGGAGCAGTCAGCCTCCCTCCCCCTGAAACTAAATGCCCATCCTGCGTGGTTAGCGTAAACTCAGGTACGGTCCAAGGGGACTCGTTGTGACGTTGTGAGTAATAAGGATTCCTATCACTCAGGAAGTTCCAAGGTTTTGGGAAACTGCTGGATCTGGGACAAAGACCAAATACATTATTATTTCACACTTGCCCCAGCCAAACAATGAGTGTTCCCAGTGGCTCTAACCTAGGGCAGTATACAGTGGGCTGTTTTGCAGGGTGACTCCTTGAAACCCAGAAGGGGCCCTGAGGCTGGGTGCCACACGGTGGGGCTCTGGCTGTGCCTGGCTCCCCACAGGCCTCCCCACCGCTCTGGGCGGGGTGGGGGCAGCAGCCACCTTCTCCGAGGCAGTGGGCTTGTCCTCGGCTGCGTCCCTTCCGGCTTCTGTAACTCACGCTCCTCCTTGTCAGTACCTCGGGTCCTGGACCACGGACAGAGTTAAAGGGAGAGTCATGGAGATCCTGTTCAGCTGGACAGTCTGGTTTCCAGAAGACATGAAGATCCGGGATGCCTACCAGATGCTCAAGCAGCAAGGTCGGCCCCGCGCCCCTCGCCGCGTCCCCTTTCACACTAGGTTGCTTCTCGTGGGTTTTGACGTTTTTGGTAAACGCTGGCTGTCTTGTGTAGGACCGTAGAGGCAGAGACAAACAATTGTAATTCCTGGAGACTGGAGCCCTTCCTTTTGGTCGGCAGGAGCTGAACTGGGTTGGAGGGGGGTGGCCACCCGCTTCCACCGGGGTTCCCCTGCTTTGCGTCAGAGGGGGCCTCACTCCCCTGACTTCCTGACACTAGGTGGGCCGTCGGTACCTGTCACTCAGTCACTGCTGGTGCCGTCATCTCTGTTCTCAGCCAGAGGCAGGGTACGACCCTCATCACCGTGTCCCTTCTGCTCTCAGCTGCTGCTCTAAGGACTGCAGGCTGTGTTGTCCCCCTAGCAGAGGGGGACAGAGACTGAGGTTCCACATTGTCTTGGCAGCTCACACCGGCTTCTAAACAGTTCTTAGAAGCTCGAGTTGAATTGCTTGTATTGCTGGTGCCTCCCAGCGGTCCTTGGAGGCACGTCTTTCCTTGGACTCCAGGTCACTCGCATGATGCCCTGTGAGCTTGGCTCGGATGGATTCAGGAAAAGCTGAGTGTGTAGGCCGCCCTGTGTTGGGTTGCCGTCGGGCTGGATTGCTGCGGCCCAGGCCTCCGTGTGGAAGCTGGGGTCCCCGCTCCCCCACTTGGGCTCTGAGAGGAAGGAATTATGTTTGGGGGACCGGTTTCCCCTGTCACGGCTCTCATGGGACCTGTGTGGGAGTGCCAAGGATCCTACAGTGACAGTGGCTCCTGGACCCTGGGAGGTCATGTGCCTGTCACATGATGAGTGCTGTCACTGTGTACAGTCCACGGCCGGCCGAGGCCCTGCTTTGCTCCTACTTAGTCCGCTCGCGTGTCTCTGTCTTGTCCTTGGATTCTCCGGAGGGAGGATGGGGACCTTGGTCGTGTCCTGGACGGATCCCTTTCAGTTGCTGACAGTGTTTTTCTGTGAGACGTCAGGAACCAAGGTCCTGCTGAAGTCAGTGGGAGCCTTGACTTCATGAATTTTATGTTTCAGGGATCATAAAGCAAGACCCTAAACTACCGGTGGATAAAATCTTGCCCCCACCTTCTCCCTGGCCTAAGAGTTCCATCTTTGATGCTGATGAAGAAAAGTCAAAGGTAAGAGTAAGAGGTCCTCTGTGACCTCGGCAGCTCTCCTGAGGTGTCCCTGGGAATGTCCTCGAACCCCTGAACCAAAGCGTGGGAGAGGTTGGTGAGCTCTGTGGAGCAGCTTCTCATGCATGAGGGGGCATAAGGTGTCATGGTGTGGAATTAACCCCTGGTCGTTCGCAAAAGGTGAGAGTGTTCACATGGGACTCTACAAAGCGGGAGAGTGAAGAAAGGTTTTATTCAAGTCAGGGCAGAGAGAGAATGCCCGTGGCAGTGTCCAAAGGTGACGGCTGCCTCGGGTAGGAAGGAGAGAGACACCGGCGGGGGTGGGGAGTCGTCAGGGCAGAGCCCAGAGTCTGAGGGTGGGCAGCTGCCCTAACTTCAGGTTAGCTTTTTCTTACATAGGAAAGGGGGGGTCTGTCAGGCAGGCCTGGGGGCTGCCAACCTTCCGGGGGCTGGTCTGTTTGAATGATGTTATCTCCGGACTCAGACTCGGCCACCGATGCCGGGACTTGAATGCGTCACCAGTATCACCCGCAAGAATTTGTAAATTGGATCCCAGTGTTCAGGCGCCTCAGGATTAAGAGATTGCCCTATCCCAGGTTAGGATATTGTTAATTAACGAGGTACGGGCAGCCTTGAGAAAGAAAAGAAACAGCTCTTCAGTTAATCAGTGAGGGGAGAAACCAAGAGAAAACATGACTATCAGGATGGATCAAACTGCAGACAAACTGAGTCTGATTACAGGTGGCCAGAGAGCGAGCTCTGTGGTGAGTTAAACTGCAAACTAGCTGCGTCTAACTGCGCTATTGATTCCATGAATTTCATCCTAATGTGAGGGCTGGGTGTTTTCTTCATGGATGCGTCAGGTGACAAACGCCAGATTCTTTGTACCGTGCATCTTGTGTGTACAAGTGCTCCTGTGGGAAGAGGGCGCGGAGGGTAACCCAGGCGGGTCGTGGGTGGTACTGGGGGGCCGGGTGGAGAGGAAAGGATTGGTCGGATGTGGGCTCAGGTCTTTAGTGCTAGCAAGCCTGAACCCGCCCCCCTCCTCCTTCCCTTCCACTGCCTCAGAGCTCCTGCCCCTCAGACATCAGTCAAGACAGGGAAGTGAAAAGGAAGGGGTCAGAGCCCAGGCCAGGGCCCCGGATCACTCGAGCTCTCAATCGAGCTCGCCTCTGAATGGGCAAAACGCCCTAGAGTCCCCGTGGGGGCGGTGCTTCTATGTCAGTCACTCAAAGGTCTGGTAAGTTCAGGAGCAGGAAAGCTGCAGGCTGCATGTGTCTCTCTGGCACCCATCACCTTCCGCTGCGGCTCGCAGCTGTACCCTGCCTGTGGGCCAGGCGCTCTGGCTGTCGGGTCGCTGTAGGCCAAGGAGCAGGGCTGCACTGGGCTCTGGGCTGCCTCTCTCTC